ACAAAGATACGTGGCGTGTCTTTCAAAATCATTCCTTGGGGTATAGTCAATGAACACACAATCCAATCATCTTTGTGCCACATGATGATAAACTTAGCTAGATTTTTTTTTAACATTTCATGTTTTTAAACACCAAATTTCAATGGAAATATTTATATTCTCACAGGATTGCTATTTTCTTTTTGATAATTACAACTGAATTATTGGCAAGTGGAGAAACAACTGGACTGCTCCTATTTAGGGAGTCTTGCTTGCAGCTCTTTGCCTGTAAAATTTGCTGTTTTTACTGTAGTTCGTCATTCTAGTCACACACACACACGCACACACACACACATGCACGTATGTACACATGTGCACACACACCCTGTCCCCATAACCCCTTGGAATTTCAGTTCCAAATCTGAAGAGCCTTGGTGGATCAAACATCTGCCCAATGTCTACTGACCACCTGCTGTGTGAACATCTGCTGCGTGTCAGGCACTGTCCCTATGCTGGGGGATACTACAATAATCAAGAATGCTACTCAGGGGGAGATTACAATCTAGTGGAAGGGGAAGTCATATAACAAGAAAATTAGCAAACATGTGCTTTTCATTATGTGTTTAAGCAAAAATAAATCATAGTAAAGAAAGATTACCCAGGGGATTCCATTTGAGACAGCGGTTAGGGAACGGCTCCCTGGAGCAGCATCTGTGATGTAGATAAGCCTCACTGATACTAAGAGGTGAGTGTAAACATATCACCTTGACTCCTAAACTGGATGGGCATATACAGAGGTCATGTTCTTTTGTGAAAAGAGACTCTAAAATTTCTGAAGAGCAGGTATCCCCAATCTCATAATTGCCAAGACAAAGCAGTGTTGGGCAAGATCACCTCAGTGTCAGAAAATTCTACCCATGTAGAATCCTGTTTACAGATTTAAGAAAAAATTGCATTCTTCTCTCAAAATACACTGAAGAACATTTGATAAACTTCAATACTATAGAGGATAAAAGCTATTAAGGAATGAATAGATGTGGATTCCACCAAAACAGAGATTATGAGTTGTTGGATAGGGATCCCTAGAAGTCCCTAAAACACTACAGGCTATTACCACTGCTCCTGGTTGCCCACCAGAACTAGACAGTAAGAACCTACTGCTGAACACACACACACACACACACACACACACACACACACACACACTGGATACAGGACACAGAGACATCAATCTGGAACTGAGCTAGAAGCATCCTCTCTGTTGTTCAGAGTGCCTGTATGCAGGCTCCTGGGACAGAAATCAGGGGACTCATCCAGTACTGAACCCTATACATTATAACACCAACAAGCCAAGCAAGATGTGCCCCCAGATGCCATACTGCCATGGTTATCTGGGGGGGGGGTGGTAACCAACCATTTTATACTTGTATTTGATCCAGCTCCAAAAGCAGGCCTGGTACTATAAATAAACCTGGTCAAAAGCTTACAGCTGAAAAATATTGGTTCATAGATATATAGCAGGTGTCAAAAAAGTATTCAATACATATTTGTTGTGTGAAGGAAAGGGGTCTTTCAGGCTGGGAAGGAGAGTCTACCAAAATCTACAAAAAACCTACTGGACACATCCTCCCAGAAGTAAAATCCTAAACATCACCTTTCAGAATATGCCAGATGTGGGTGTCCCTTCCCAGTCAACGTTCAAAGCACCTTCCTCCCCAGAAGACACAATGGGATGGGAACATGTTTAAGATGGGGTCTTGAAAGCCAGGCCAGGCATGGTGGCACACACTTATACTCATCTGCTAGGAACATGCAGTTAAAGGTGTGAAAAGCAGACCCGAAATATCCCCCTATCCTTACTCTCACAGATCAACAACAGCAGACAGAGAAGGAACAGAGATGAAAGCCCTGCAGGGCTGCTGGCCTGCCAACCTTCTAGAGCAAATGTAAACTCCAGTGAACTTCAATGGACAGATTTCCTCTGACCCCAAATCTCCCACTCCTGGCACATGCCCCAGAAAGAATGTCCCTTGTACAGAGAAAAGTATGCACAAGGGTTTGTGATAGCTTAGACACCTTCCCTAGAGAGGTCAGTAGGTGGCACAAAATTTGAGTATGATAGACTCTGAACAACCCACCCATGAAGCTATCCCATCTCAAAACCACATCTTGGAGGCTGGGGAGATGGATTAGTGGGTAAAGCGCTTGCCACACAAACATGAGAACCTGAGTTTGGATCCCCAGAGCCCACATTTAATCAGACATGGTGCACACATCTGGAGCCCCAGTGCTCCAAGGCAAGACAGGAGGTGGAGACAGGAGAATTCTGTCCCTGAATGCTAAGGGACCAGCTAGCCTGGCATCTACAGATGGCACAAGGGAGCCTGTCTCTAACAAGGTGGAAGGTGAGAACTCACACCTAGGTTGCTCTATGACCTCTATGTGTGCATAGTGCCACATGCACATTCACACTTACAGTTGAACACACATACACACACTAGATACGTACACATATACACACTACATACATACATTACACACACTACTTAACACCACACTTAGATACTAAATAAACACTACATGCACATACACTATACACACAGTATACACACCATACACATTGCATATACATACACATACTACATACATGTACACATAGAAAATAGAAATCTATGCTGAGGGGAAAAAAGGGAAATGGAAGGGGATTTGTGGAAACACATCATGTTTGCAGACTTCTAAAAGGCACAAATGCAAAATATCCATTTCTCTCGATAACGTGTTAAAACAGAAACCTCCAGAAGGGGAGCTAGAAGGAAGTAGATGTACACATTCTGTCCTTGGGCATGGCTGCCTCAGTATCAAGATAACTACACAGAGGCAGATGGTTCCAGAGTGCCAAGGGCTGAGGTATGTGGGCATCTCAGTCTCGGTCCCTGAATCGCCTCAGGTAACTCACCCCCATCCTCAGCCTGTGCCCCCAAACACACAGTTCAATTGTGTTCAAGTCCCACCAAACGGCAAAGCTGCATCCTACCTATCCATCACTGGATAAGAGGTTTTAAATAACAATCCTGGCATTTACTCAATGATTAGGTTGATTAAATTGTACTTATTAAACTTGACAATTATTGAACTATACCTGGGGTGAAGTCAATTATACTTATTAATTGGCAGATGGAAAAGCTAGACAAACCCACAGAACTACTCAGAAGGATTTTACTGCCAACTTGGTGTCAGGAGGCTATACCTCCCTGATGTGGAAAACACGAGGCTTATTAATGGGAGTTTGCCCACTGCCCAGCACATTTTATAGCCTACAGAGAAAAAGTCCATGGATTCCGGTTTCAGAAACATTGGGAATAAATATTAAAATCCCAGCAGCCTTTATTTCCTTGTCCACTATGAATATATTGGGAAAGAAATAGTGTTCTTTATTATGTGGTGTGTGTGTGTGTGTATGTGCGCGCGCGCATGTGTGTATGTGTGTGTGTGTGTGTGCGCGCGCGAGTGTGTGTATGTGTCTGTGTGTGTGTGTGTGTGTGTGTGTATACAAGTGCCCATGGAGACCAGAAGAGTGCATCTGGAGCTGGAGTTACAGCAGTTATGAGCTGCCTGACACAAGTGCTAGGAACAGAATTCTAGTCCTCTCAAGGGCTGCAACTGCTCTTAAACACTGAACCATTTTTCCAGCCCCTAAAATTGTTCTTTTTATAGCTCTTTCTTTTCACAGTTCTCTTTATATCTTTATAGTTTTCTATCTCACATTTAAGTTTCAGTTCCAAATAGAGGTATTTTTGAATATGATATGAAATAGGGACAGTTTTTAAGTATCCTTACAGTAAGCCAAAGTTTCCTTCTTTATGTTGTGTGTGTGTGTGTGTGTGTGTGTATGTGTGTGTGTGTATGTGAATTTGGATGTGCATGTGCCATAGTCTGCATGCAGCGGTCAGAGGACAACCTTGGGTGTCAGTCCTTACCTTCCATCTGTCTGAGACTCTTGTTGTTGACATCTCTTGCTGTCTGCAGCTATATACAGCACACTAGCTTCTGGGAATTCTGTCTCTACCTCCATCTCACCAAAGGAGCACTAGGATTGCAGACACTAGCCTGCCTGGCTTCGATGGGATTCTAGGGACTCAAATTCAGGTTTTCATGCTTACACGGTATTGTGGTTTGAATGAAAAAATACCCCTTATAGATTCCCCATCAGTTTTACTCAGGGGGAGCTTATGAAATCTTAGGAGGTACAGCCTTAATGAAGGGAGTATGTCCCTGGGGGGTGAGCTTTGAGAGTATTTAATCTCTCTCTCTCTCTCTCTCTCTCTCTCTCTCTCTCTCTCTCCCTTCTCTCTCTCGCCAATATCTCACTCCTACTGCCATGCCCTCCCCACCATTATGGTCATTTATCTCCCAGGAACCATATGCTAAAATAACCTTTCTTCTCTAAGTTGCTTTTGGTCATAGTATTTTATCACAGCAACAAAAAGGTAATCAACATGCATGGTATCTCTTTGCTTACTGAGCCACATCCCTAGCCCCTATTTCTTTATCTCGAAAAAATGGGGGTTTTAAATTTCTAGTTATATGCGTATGTGTCCATGTGTATATGTGCACATGACTGTAAGTGCCCATGTAGGCCAGAAGAGGGCGTTGGATCCTCTGGAGTAGGAGTTATTGGAGGTTGTGAGCTTCCAGATGTGTGCTGGAAACTAAACTTAGGTTCTCTGGAAGAGCAGTAAGTATTCTTAGTCACTGAGCCATCTCTCTAGCCCCTGATTGTAATTTTTTTCATCGTAAAGGACATGAAGATCAAATTCTTTAGCCTGGACTATGATAATTTCCCAAGTTTTATAGCTCATACATGGTATTGACCACTGACAGCTGCCACATAAGATTCCTGTCCCTGGCAGGTACATGTTGATAGAGGAGGCAGTGTGGAAGTTGCCTCATGCAAGGCTCAGTAAATAGAGATAGTTAAATGTAGGCATGAAATCCTTGGAAGGTGCCTGCCTGTGCCTCACCGTGCCCTCAGGGTCCACCAGCAGCAGATGCTTGGCCTGACCATTATGCATGCCGGTGAGAACGAAGGAACCAGGGTTGGTGGTGCTCTTTCTGACCAGGAAGTCTCCGTCTTCTTCCAATAGTGCCTCAGCCTCCTTCCTGCTCATCTCTCCTTGGTACCAGGGCTCGGTGTTGAGCTCCTCCAGCATCCTGGCATCTGGAGCTCTGGGCGAGACAGGACTGATGCACTCCACAGATGCTGCTTTGTTCAATATAGGTCCCAAGGGCTGGTTCTTGAGAGCATCTTCAAAAGGCTCTGTCAACAACATTTGACAGCAAGTCAATCCCAGAAGAGTGATAAAAATAGTGTGAGATTTAAGAATGCAAATGTGACTCTTAGAAGGGAAGGAAAATAACTGGCTGGCACCAGAGCAGGAGCATCATAGCAAGAATTTAAATTCACCACCCAAATTTCGGTATGACTCCCTGGTGAGTCTGCTTTCTCCGGACAGCTGGGGTTGTGACTAGTACCAAGGATACAAGCACACACTTTGTCTAGTTGGGTCAAAGGATTTCATTGCCATATTCTTCAAGAGGGCATATACAACTCACTGTTCACACCACTTACCTTCCCTGAGCCAGCCTCCTTAACAAACTTTGAGTACAAACTCATAAAGTATCAAAGGAAAAAGAAACCACAAAAATTTCATTCCATGCAAAGCCCAGTTCACCACCAATTTACTTCAAAATCTCTGGGTGCTTCTTGGGTGACTGCTCCAGGCTAGGGATTCAACTTTCCCTTGACCACCATCACTTGTGTTTGAGCATTGACATCACACTTGACTTAATCCCCTTTGAAACAGACTTCTCCCTATGGCATACCAGTGAGTGTTCAGACTGCTGGGAAAAGCAGCAAATACCGGTGGCAAAAGAATTATCTAAGTTCATCTAATTAAACTTCAGTGTGCAATTTTTCCCAGTAAGACTGGAGGTCTAAGCACTGAGAAAAGGCGCATGGTGCCATGTAAAGATTAGGTACTGCAATGATCATTTCAAAGCACACTGCTCACTTGCTACAGAGCAAGCACAACAAGAACAAGAATGTTCTCTCTTGAGCACAACTCTTCCTCCAAAACCCCACATTGTTCCTAGGACACCGCTTGGATTCTATAGCTATTTGGGGCATGTCGTAGAATAAGTCCACCTAGGTAGATGGTAGGACAGGATGGACAGAAGAGAGAAAAATGCATCAAGCCAAAATTAGATCTTTCTGGTAATTGTTAGATGTTTTACAGACACTGGGAGGAAAACTACCGACTAAATGGTAATTTTCGGCTCTGTGTGAGCACTCATGTATGTGCATGCGTGTATGTGGGCGCCTGTCTTCTTCAATTTCTCTCCATCTTACTCTTTGAGACAAAGGTTTCTCCCTGAACCTGGAGCCCAGTGGGCTGCCACCAAGCCCCAGGGATTCTCCTGTCCCTGCCTCTCCACTGCTAGCATTACAGATGTGTGCTGCCGCACCCAGGATTTTCACGTTAGTTCTAGGGGTCAAGCTCAGGTCCTTGTGCTTTCACAAGCAACACTTTACTGATTGAACCATCCTCCCCAGACCCTAGCTTTCTTTTTATGCTACTTTTTACCTGATTAAATAAGAGTGCTGAAAATCTATACTCTACTGGGTCTTTTTTTGGTTTTTTAAAAAATATTTTATTTATTATTTTTTATGTGTATGTGTGTATTGCCTGCATGTAGGTAAACGCACCCGTGTTGTTCAATGCCTGCAGAGGACAGAAGAGGCTGTCAGAGCCCCTAGAACTGGAGTTACAAAGAGTTGTTAGCTGCCATGTGGGTGCTGGGATTCGAACCCAGGTCTTCTGCAAGAACATTCAGTGTTTTTAACTGCTGAGCCATCTCTCTAGCCCCTTTATTATTATTTTTTTAAATTTTAAGTGTAAAAGTGTATTGCTTGCTTGTATGTAAGTGCACCCAGGTCATGAAATGCCTGTAGAGGTCAGAAGAGGGTATCAGATTCCCTGGGACTGGTTGTTAGCTGCCATGTGGGTGCTGGGAATTGAATCTGGATCCTCTTCAAGAGCAGCCAGTGCTCTTAACTGCTGGACCATCTCTCCAGTCCCTACTCTACTGTTTTTGCATCACATTGCTTGTCTCTGCATTCATTTTTATTGGTAGTAACAGGAGCACCACTAACATTACTGCCATCAGCATCATCAATACCACTATCACCATCATGTCACCATCATCATCATCAACAATACAATTATCAGAATCACTACCAACATCATCTTCAACACTATCACCATCATCATCATTATCATTGCAATGACTAAGATGCCATCCATCATCACTAACATCACTAGCAGCAGCAGCACCACCACCATCCCTGTCATCGCTAACATCAGCAGCAGCAGCATTGTCATTGTTAACATCAGCAGCATCACTAACATCACCAGCATCTGAAGCAGCAGCATCACTAACATCACCAGCATCATCCCCATCATCACTAACAACACTAGCTGATGTGCAGCAATTTCTCTCCTTGAAGGAGGGGCAGGTGGTTCATGAGACTCGGGAAACAAGCTTTACATGTCTGAGAAGGCTGAAACTTAGAAGATTCATGAGGGCCCCTCCCTCAGGTTGCAGAAATGGCAATAATTACTAAGGGATGAGAATCTGATGGGGCAGAGCTGCAGGAGCTGTCAAAAGATGATTCTGCAACCTTCAAGCTAGGCTGTTTTCATGATTCATCACCCATACTAGGGTGGGTACTTTCAGTGATGCAGCTGCCTTTGAGTCACCTGTAAGTGACCCCTCCCCCATACTCCCATACTCCTGTAAGTAACCCTAATAAACTCATTGGTTTACTAAGTTGGACCTTAGTAAAATTGCTACTTTGGTCTACCATCACTTCCCTGTCTAGGATGAACAGATGTTTATGCCACATTTCTCTAGGAAAATTATCACACACATGACCACTAGCATACCACCCATCATCACTAACTACTAGCATCATCATCATTACTAACATTATCATTGCCATGACCATCACTAGCAAACCACTCATCACCATCATCACCACCATTACCACCCTAGCACCTCAGCATCATCACCATCTTCACTAACATCAGTAGCAGTATCACTATTATCATTAGCATCATCACTGCTATAATCACTAATATCACTACCATCACTAACATCAGCAGCATCAGCACTATGATTACCTGCATCATCACTGCTATAATTATGTTAGCATCATTGTCATCACAATAAACATTGATGGCATTATCACCATCATCACTATCATTACTAGCATCATCATGATCACCACTAACAACCAACATCATCACAGCCATCATCATGACCATCATCACTAACATCACCAACACCATTACTATCATCACTAATATCACCAGCATTGTCTGTCATCACCACTAATGCCACTAGCATTGCAAAGAGCATCACTAACATCACCAGTACCATCATCATCATCATCACCATGACTATCATTACCAGTATCATCACCATTATCACTAGAAGCACCATAACCAGTACACCACTCATCATCACTATCATCATTAACATCACCAACATCATCATAGCCATCATAAATAACATCACCAGCAGCATCTCTGCCATCATCACTAATGTCACTGGCATCATCACCATCATCACTAACATCACCAGCAGCATCACCATCATAAATGTCATTACCACTCATCGTTATCATCATCACTAACATCACCAGCATCCATTCTGCCAACCACACTAATATCACCAGCATCATCACTACCATCACCATCATCAGTGTACCACTGTTGGGCCTTCAGGACCCTCATACACATGGAGGAAAATGAGGCCTAATATAATTTCATAAGCCAGGCTAAAGTTTAGCGACCTGTCTCTGGCCTGTCACTTCTGTGTGGAGGTGACTCAGCAGAGCCCTATCTAAGATTGCCTCTGCCCAGTAACAACTGGCATGGTAAATTCCCAGTGGCCCACAGTCTTCACCCCAGATGACACATTCCTATACCCACCCCCTTTTCCACACCCCCTTTGCTTAAACTATATAAGTTGATGCCTGACACAATAAAGTGAGTTCCTGCCTCGACAAGACTCCCGACTTGGTGTAGTCGCCGACACTCACCATCCTGCTCAGCCCCCAAGAGAGGAACCCAGGCTGGTCCTGGCCTCTCCCCCTGTGCCGTACCTGTTGGAGAGCATCCGACATACCACCACTCATCACCATCATCATTAACAGCACTGACATCATCACAGCCATCATAAGAAATATCACCAGCACCATTTCTACCACCATCACTAATGTCACTAGCATTGTCAGTAGCATCACTAATATCATCAGCATCATTACCATCATCACAACATTACCAACATCATCACTGCTATCATCACTGTTCTCATCCTCACCAGTACACCACTCATAATCACCACCATCACTGACATCACCAGCATCATCTCTGCCATCATCACTAACGTCACAAGCATCATCACTAGCATCACTTATACTACCAGCATCATCACCACCACCTCTAACATCATCAATAAATTGCCATCACTACTACTATTTAGCACTAGTGTTCCAGGACGTACAACCCTGAGTGCTGACATGATTTCCATACTTCTAAATAGACAACAGTTCCTTGAAGTTTTTTTTGTTTTTGTTTTTTGTTTTTACTTCGTCTCCTCTTGTTTTGAGAAGAGTAGAAATTGATGGGAGTAAGGTGAATCTAGTTTTCAACTTCCTTAGACTTCAGCCATACCTAACACTTCCCAGGCTCTGGAGTCAAAAGTCAATGGTAAATTGACTAAATTTAACAGTTAAAATGGCCTTCCCATACCTGAAGCCTCTAGACTGCAGCTGAAAGATACTGCAAGAACTCAAGCAGAAATCAGGCACAATGGTACATGCCTGTAATTCTGGCAATCAGAGGCTAAGGTGGGCTGTTGAGTTCAAGGCAAACAAACCTCAGCTATATATGTAACTACCAGGCCAGCCAAAGCTACAGACAGAGACCCTGTCTCAAAACACCAAAACCAAAAATTAAAAACAAACCCTGAAGCATAGGCCAGAGAGTCACTGCTTGGCTCCACAGCTTGAGAAAGGGACTCAGGCTTCTTGGGGTGTTTCTATGTTTTATTAAATGAAAGGGATGGTTGGGTGGTGTGTCAGTTCCCTCCAGGCCATGAGAGTCAACAGTACTTTGGTGGGAATTTGGTATATCTGGAAGCTACAAGGGCTGAGAAGGAGCTGAGTGCAGAGACCACAATGACACCTCA